GGTAGAGAGTATGTCTCGAAAGATTTCGATGTATTATGTGATAAAGAAGGGATTGTGGATAAGGTGGTGTCACCCTACACTCCATAGGAGAATGGAACTGCATAAAGAAAGAATAAAATCATCATGAACATGGTGAGAAGTATGTTGAAAGGAAAGCATCTACCCAACGAATTATGGGGAGAAGCTGTGTCGACTGTAACATACATCTTGAATAGATGTAAGATAAAGAAGCTAGAAGGAATCACACCAGAAGAATGTTGGTCTAGTGTCAAGTCTAGCCTAAGTCATTTGAAGGTGTTTGGATCTATAGAACATAGACATGTTCCATATCAGTTGAGAAGAAAGCTTGATGACAAGTCCAGTCAAATGATCCTAATAGGATATCATTCGACTGGAGGATACAAGTTATTCGACCTAGTGAACAAGCAAGTAGTGATCAGCAGGGACGTGATCATAGATAAGCTTAAGGAATGGGATTGAACTGTGAATGTCAAGAAGTATTTAGTGAGAATCTTATGTGAAGAACCATCTAATGAATTCGAAAGAGAAGTTTGACAAGAAGAAGTCAGAGGTGAAGTAGACCCAAGAGAACCTCAACGAACAAGACACATTCCTGCAAGGGTGCAAGAATGTGTGATTAAATCATATGATATGGTCGATGAAGAAGGTGAGTTGGTACATTATGCTTTCTACGCAGACGTAGAACCAGTCAATGCAGTTGAGGCATTGAAAGATTTGAAGTAAGTGAAAGAAATGAATGAGGAACTATAGCCCATCAAAGTCAACAACACCTGATTAGTTGTCGAATTGCCTCAAGGCAAGAAGGAAATTGATGTGAAATGGGTTTACAAAGTGAAAGTGAATCATAAAGGAGAAGTAACTCGACACAATGCAAGACATATGGCGAAAGGATTTCTTCAGAAGGAAGGAATCGACTTCGACGAAGTTTTTGCACCTGTTGCTAGGATCAAAACAATCAGGTTGGTTGTTGGTCTAGCAAACATGAACAATTGGCACACATGTCAGATGGATGTGAAATAGCTGAGGCATTGAAAGATTCGAAGTAAGTGAAAGAAATGAATGAGGAACTATAGTCCATCAAAGTCAACAATACTTTATTACTTGTCAAATTGCCTCAAGGCAAGAAGGAAATTGATGTGAAATGGGTTTACAAAGTGAAAGTGAATCATAAAGGATAAGTAACTCGACACAAGGCAAGGCATGTGGCGAAAGGATTTCTTCAGAAGGAAGGAATCGACTTCGACGAAGTTTTTACACCTATTGCTAGGATCAAAACAATCAGGTTGGTTGTTGGTCTAGCAAACATGAACAATTGGCATACATGTCAGATGGATGTGAAATGTGAATTCTTAAATGGCCCCTTAGATGAAGAAGTTTATGTTGCACAACCAGCTGGATTTGTGAAACAAGGCGAAAAAATAAAGGTGTACAGGCTGCACAAAGCCCTGCATGGGTTTAAACAAGCTCTAAAAGCTTGGAACGAGAAGATCGACAATTTTTTAAGCAAGAAGAAATTTGTGAAGTGCACAACTGAGCATGAAGTATATGTAACGAGAAGCAATAATGAATTGCTTATACTCTATCTCTATGTCGGTGACCTGTTGATAATAGGAAGATGCAAGAAGGAGATTGAAGATTTCAAACATGACCTAAGTGAGGAGTTTGAAATGTCAGACTTGGGAAATCTCTCATATTTCCTTGGCATCGAATTTTACAAGAGTGGTAGAGGTTTGATGATGCACCGAATAAGATATGTAGGTGAAATACTCAAGAGATTTGAGATGCAAGATTGAAATCCAACTTCGACTCTAGATAAGACCAGATTGCAACTGTTGAAAGATTCAAATGAAGATGATGTCGACTCAACCCAATATATAATACTTATTGGGTCACTTCGATACATATGTCACACAAGGCCTGACTTAGCATACAGTGTGGGTATGGTAAGTAGATTCATGCAAAAGTCAAAGGTATCACATCTAGCAGCGACGAAAAGGATACTAAGGTATCTGAAAGGAACTCTCGACTACGACATTTTGTTTCCTGCAACTGATGAAGGAAAAGAATGCAAGATAGTGGGTTACACTTATTCAAGTTGGTGTAGTGATGTCGAGGATATAAAATCCATAGTTGGCTATATGTTTATGTTAGGTGGTGCACCAGTTGCTTGGAGTTCGAGAAAAAAACCAGTAGTGGCATTGTCTTCATGCGAAGTATAATACATAACTACTTCTATTTGTGCATGTTAAGCAACATTGATGATGAACCTGGTCGAAGAGATTACAACAAAGAGTCATGGAGCAATTACCATGAAGATCGACAACATGTCAACTATCAATCTGGAGAAGAATCCAATAGCACACGGTTGGAGAAAACACATTGAAATGAGGTTCTATTATCTTTGTAAGCAGATAACAGAAGGGAAAATAAACTTGGAACATTGCAGAATTGAGAATCAGATTGCATATATCATGACGAAAGGAGAGCAAGTCAATGTATTCAAGAAGTTAAGGTCTGTGATTAATGTAGGTAGCTTAGACACAATTAATTAGGTGGTTTGTTGAATTTATAATTCCTTGTGTAAAAGTAGTGTAGCTCGACAAAAAAAAGGTCTAGACGAATTAGCGTAATGTGTGTGTATCGAGTTGCTTAGTGTGTCGAAGCAGGTTGTTTCACACAAGATTTCGACTTAGGTCTATTTTAGTAATGTTAACTATTTTAGACTTTAATAATTTTGGGTTTTGCCTTAGGGTGCAAGTTAACCTAAATCTATAAATAGGGTGTAACCCTTATTTTGTAATCAACTCATAACATTGCATTCACAGAATTTGCAACTACAAGTGACTAAGAAATTTTCCTCAGTTTGTGGGCAAAGAGAAACTCTGCAGAATATTCATCTTCTTCTTCTCCAACGTTATTTTCTTTTTTTCTTTCTCAACCTTTTTTTTTCATTGTCATTGCGTGATTGATAACAATCTTGAGATCAAGATTCAGCGAAATTCTCCATAAGTTGTGGTTGAATTCCAACAAGAATGCGCGCTTTTGATTTAATATACTATAATAGATTTTTATAATTAAAAAATAATTGCAAGAGAAATAAAAATAATATTCTATAAATTTTATGAAAATAATATATACCAAAATTTAATAAATAATTATTAAATTAATATTTCTTTTGGATTTATTTGAATTTGAACTCATAACCTCTAATATTATATATTATTATATCTTTTAAAAAATAAAGATGAAATTTGGAAGGTAATACATAAGAATAATTATGATTATGATGTGTCACAAATTATGTTGAAGTCTCAATATTAGAGGGCACACTTATGATTTAATAGATTATAATAGATGTTTTAAATCAAAGAAGACCATGATATTTTTTAAAGAATTTAAGATTGCTGCATCTCATACTTGGAATTCAAACAAAAAACCGAAGATAAAAAGACAGAAGATCATTTATCATGTCAAAAAATTCAAATATTTAAAACAATAAAACATTAGCATACATGTACAATAATTAAATCCTAACCTTTTCGGTTATATAAATTTTATTCGATACTTATGTTAAAACTGCATGAGGTATTTGGTACCTTATAAAATTATTCTAGTTGTGACCTAATTAATAATATAAGTAGTTGATTCACAAATCATAATTTAAGTGATCATAAACAAAACTCAATTATTTATAGGTTCATATATGTATATAACTTGATGAGACCATACACATTAAATTTTCTTCACCTAAATATTTTTTTTTTTTAAAACCACATGAAGCATAATATATTCTACATTTTGCATAACCAAAGAAAAGAACAGCTTAACAAATGCATTTAATTAGGTTTTAAAAAAAAAATCATAATTCAAATCTCTTAGTACCAGAAGCGAACTTTTCACCCTCTTGCCACCTCTTTGAATACAAAATACCAAATACCCATCATTTTTAAAATAAATACCAAACTACCATGTTTTCAAAAAAAAAATATTTTTGTTATAAGGGTGCCGCCCATTCAATGGGCGACAATGTGTAAAAGAAAAGTCTTCCGCCTATTCAATAGGCGGCACTGTATAATTTCATAATTTTTTTATTTTTTTATATATTAATAATATATTAATATTAATATATTTTCAATAAATATATTTTTAATTAATAATTAATATAAATAATATATATAAATTAAAAAAATATTAATTGTTAATTTAATTTTTTATATTAATATATGTTAATTATTAATATGTATTATATTAATTATAATTAAAAATATATTTATTAAAAATATATCAATTAACATATATTAATTATTAATATTAATTATATAAAAAATAAAAAAAATTGATTTTTTTACCCACTGCCGCCCATTCAATGGGCGGCACCTTTATAATAAAAATGAACTTTTTTGAAAGTGTGGTAGTTTAGCATTTAGTTTGAAATGCAGGGCTATTTGGTACTTTGTGTCCAAAAAGAGGGCAAGCCAGTAAAAAATTCACCAGAAGCAGCCAAAGTTTTAACATTAATCAACTTCTAGATTCTTTTCTAGCTATACTAGCCACAAGAATACACCCAAATAAATATTTTTTTTTCTTCTTCATAATTTCTGGAACAAATGGTACTTAACATCGATATTTTCAAAGTCTCATGACCACAAATAAACTACATTGTGGGTCCATAAATTTAATTATAAATACATAATATTTAATTATAATATTATATAAAAGAGTACAATTTTTAACCCTTCCAGAATTACATCTGATGGATGGTTAGTACATATACTTTTTTTTTCCAATACTAATTACTACCTAATTACATCAATTCAGACATTCGAGCTTCAAACTCAGAAAAACATTTTTGTCTTTCTTTTCTTTTTTTTCATACATTTTTGCTCTATGTCCTATTCTGAACAAAACAAAAATAAAATATAAAAAAAAAAGGTCATGTATTTTATAGCTGGTAGAGATGTACAATGTCTTGTCTTCATCTACACCCTAGAACGTGATTTTGTAGATAATTTTTTCCACTCCACCAAACGCTGCAGAAAATCCATAACCTGCATGAAAAAAAATTAATAAATTAATAAATGTATATATTTAAGAAATGTATAAATAAATAAATAAATAAAATTATATTATGCTTGCCTCATTGGGTTCTTGTAGAGAGTAAGAAGCAGTAGTTTCTTTTGGAAATTTAGAGACCAGAATTCCAAAACCTTGTCCTCTGTCTCTTAATTTCTGTTTAAGATAAAATAACTACTTTGTTAATTATCCAAAATAGTTAACAAAAAGTTAAAATATACTTGATTAGGAAATAAAAAATTGATTAGAGAAAACATTAATATCATTGGATACCTTGAATGCATCTTCATCGGTTCTATCATCACCAATATAAACAGGAAACACATCGTTACAGTTGGCAAATCCTGTTGAAAACGATTTATATTAGTTACTTAATCAAAAGGCTAATTAAAAAATTAGTGTTTAATCAATAAACTAATCCCACGAGGGTGTAGGTGTCACCCTCTTAATTCTTTGTAATGGTCAAATAGTTTGAAGAATTATCCAACTAATTAAAGACCATGAACAGTACTTTATTAATAAGTTTGTGTGATTAATTAATTAATTAATTAATTATGTTTGATTGTGACAAAGATTAAAAATTAACTCACCAAGTGACTCTAACAAAAATTCTAAAGCCTTGCCTTTGTCCCATTTAATTGAGGGACGAATCTCGAATACCTGTATTAAACAAATGAGATTGAAAGTGAGACATCTATTATTTCATTATTCTTAATCCATGTCTTAATCAACTTTGAACTAATTAAATCACAATATAAACCACCCAAAATTAATTAATTAATTAATTATAAAAAAATTAAATAAAACTATGACCCACCTTTCTTCCTTGTGTAAGACGAAGTTTTGGATACTCTTTTATTACTGATTTTACTTGCTGTGCTAATTCAATCCATCTCTGTGTTTAATAAAAATAACTTTGATTTAGATCATAATTATATAATAACACTAATTTATTTCATTATTGCCTTAAAATTAAAATTATAAATATACCTTTTCCTCAACACATCTAAAATGAACAGAGGCACAGAACTTATGATTCTCAACTCTAGCACCAGGAGTTGATTTTGTTTTCTCAACTAATTGTTCATACACCTGAAAAAAATAAATTATAAAGTTAAAAATAAAAATTAGTTTTTCTTACTATAAGTTTTTAAAAAAAAATAAAAAATTGAATTACATTAGAAATACTTACCTCATTTATCATAGGAACAAATTCTCTAGCAGGTTGAAAAAGAACTTCCTCTGCTTTGTCATTCTACAAACCATGATCAATGTTAATTTTATTTTTTATATTTGGCTTATAAAAAAAAATTTATATATGTAAAATATATAATAAAATAGAGGTAGTTTATTTACTTGGTTGGATTTGGACTCTATTGTTGGCCCTTTAATATCCATACCATGGCTTCCAGCATAATATAGTTCAGCCAAACGAATAAAATTATACACCTGAAAATAATTTCCAGAAAATAAAATCAAAATCAAAATAAATTTTATTTACAAGAAAAAAATTATAAAATAGAAATTTGAAAGAGTGAAAGTGTACTTTGTCTATGCATCTTCCAGTAACAATTGCAGTAGGAAAACACCTTGCAAGTTTCCTAACAGTTTTCCTCATCTGAATTTTATATGTGATGATAGAATTCATTAGAAACCAAAAATAAATAAATTTAATTGGTATACATTGACGGTGTAAAACTAACTAACTAACCGAATCCGACATGAAAGCGCGGTCGGGGTCGTCGACAATAGGAGACAAAGTACCGTCATAGTCCAAAAACATGACAATTTGTTTCCCCTTAGCCGCATCTATAATCTGCTCAAACATGTCTAATGCAGACGGATGATGAAGCTGTTTGAAATAAACAATAAATAACTTTTATAAAACGGTTCGATAGGAATCAGATCCATTATTTGTTCAAATTCTGCATGGGTGAAAACAGAGATAGTGATGAAGATGATGATGCTTACGATCCAAGAATTGTATTCTTCAGCTAAAGAAGGAGTTGATTTGACATGAGTCGGAGAAGAAGCTCTCATGGAATCAATGGAAATATTGATTCTCTGTCCTCCATTGATTTCAAGGTTCTTCAAAATTCTCCTCCTCGGAATGGAAATGTAACCACCGGGTGCCGCCGGTGGCTTCTGTGCCACGGTAATACTAGTATTACCGGCGTTGATTCCGGTTTTCGTCTCGGACACTACCACATTCTGTTGAGTCATGTTCACTGTAAACTAAACATTCAAACCCAACCAAAAAAACTATATTAATATCACACTTTTCATTATTAAACCTAGGAATGTCAAGAAATTAATACAACAATAAGGTAACATAACATAAGATAACATGTTCGTGGAATGAATGAACAACCTTAGAAACGGTTTTTCTGTGGTGTTTGAATGATTTGCAAAGAGATGAAGAAGGGGAATTTGAAGAGGCAGAGAATAACTGAAACTCTAGAGAGAGAATTAGAGAGAGCAAGAGAGAGAGTGGGAGTGGGGGAAGAAGACATAGGGTGTGGGTTAGATTTATAGGAAGAAAAAGAGGAAGTTCCAAAAGGACCAAAATTCACTAGTGGGACCCACGTTTGAAAAATAATATTATGACCCCACAACACAACTTTGCCTTACCCCGATAGATATCCTTGAGGTCCCCGCCAGTATACCACACACTGCACTATCTCTCTATTCTTTATTCTCTATATTTTTTCTTCACAATTCACACTCTTCAAACTTCAAACTACTACTGCTACTGCTACTATCAGAAAATACCAAACCAAACAGTTTTTTTCTTTGTTCCTATGATTGTTGTTCAATTCAGTTTATTATTCTAAATCACTGAACTAAGGTATAGTACATATTCATATATTTTTATTTACTAAACTAGTTCTATATGCTTTTTAATCTTTAAAATCTACTTTCTTTTTAGTTTTGTTTTTGGTTAAAGAATCAAATCACAACACGTGGCTAATATCCTTTAGCCGACTCATTCTCATAGGGCTTTCTACCGCCTACACGTTGTATAAACCGTGTTACTAATATTTTATGAGGAAAAGAAAACATGCATTAAGGATCCACTTGACCTCATCTAAGAATTGATTATTTGATTCTATTTTCCAAATCGGTTTGATATAGGCTTATGTGACAATACGATCATTTTTTATTTTAAAGTTGTTCTTGTGAGGAGTAAGAGGTTCTCGTAATCGAAACTTTGGTGATATGATTCCATATTTGGTGTGCGATCATATTTCCTTCTTTTTGCATGTTGGTTTCTTCAAAAAAAAAAATCTCAATGAAATGATGAAGTATACTTTTGTTATAAGTGGATTTGTGTTTTTGAGGTGGTAAAGAAGGGATTATTTGGTGTTATGGATCAGTCAAAAATTTTAATAAAAAAAGTCCATCAGCTGCCCTAGAACAAAGGTCACTAAATATTGTATCGGTTTATATGCACTATTATGTATCGTAAGATTTTAAGTACATACACTTTTTACACTTCACTCTTTTTTTTTTACTCGTTCAATTGTCTGAGTATTGGAGTGTTAATCTTATAGGTCCACTTTTATGTTTCACTGCACTAGAGGTTTGTAACGTCGCATCATAAGTCTATCATCGCAATTCACACAAAATTCGAGTCTCGATCTGAAACAATGACGTCGTCTGTGAGAATCAAATTCTGATTCTAGTGGATTTCCACGATTAAATTTTGCATGATGCAAAAGCTAGTTCGTCGTGACGGAGCACAAAGACCAAAGAATCTTTGTTGAGAATTGCTTCGAATCTTCTTATTCAACAACATTTCCAATTCCTGGTGTTGATGAGATCAGAAGAAAACCACTATGTTTTTGAAACATAACATTCCGAAGTCACGAAAGGACTAACGAGACCCTTAGCACAATGTTTTTGAAAACCATTACTTTTGCAGTGATAAAAAAATCTAAGAAATAACATAAATCATAGAGTTTTAACATTCCCCAGAACCACCGAGGACATAAGACTACGAGCACACAATTCAGAACGACATGAAATACCAACATCGCCTTGCATGTCAATCTCAAAATTTGCTAGTCAGAGGCAATAAATATGCAGGAGCCGTTCACAAATCAAATGAATAGAAGAGTCGCAGTTCTCACTTCACTGTTATTGCCCTCGATACGCCAATAACGAATTAACTTAACTGCAGGAACAGAGAAATAATTATTACCGTTGTCGACCTATATAGAACGAGGAATATTTTCTAAAGGACAAAGTAGTGAGGGTTTGCACACCCATAGTGAACAATACCTTATAGCCGCGGTGTCGCGAACTTTAGGTCGACCAAAATATTAATGCTTAAAGTGTTGGTGCAAAGATAGAATAAATGATGAAAATAGGAAATATTACTAATAAGAGAATGACGGCTACAAAACATGACATTAGGTTACAATGATTGTCACCCTATTTATAAGCTAAAACTAGGGTTACTAGAATAGGATAAATACTAAAATACCCTCTAACAAACTTATGGGCTAAGAAAATAGTACAACTAAATAAATATGAATTATCATTAATATTCTAATACCATCCCTTAATTCATATTCCATCAAAACTTGTAACACCAATTCCATCCCTTAATCTGAGAAATTGATCAGTCTTGATAGCTTTCGTCAGAACATCTTCTACTTTGCACAATACACTCAGAGTTTTCTCACACAGTGTTTCCCAACCCACAGAATTAAAAAATTCTGATCAGATTTTGTTCAAGATTCAACAAGAATCTGAGAAACAAAATCAAACACACAAGACCTCACGTTCACTCGTGTTTCCCGTGTTTCCCAATGAATCTGAACCGGAGCTCTAGATACCAATTGTTGGTGCAAAGATAGAATAAATGATGAAAATAGGAAATATTACTAATAAGAGAATGACGGCTACAAAACATGACATTAGGTTACAATGATTGTCACCCTATTTATAAGCTAAAACTAGGGTTACTAGAATAGGATAAATACTAAAATACCCTCTAACAAACTTATGGGCTAAGAAAATAGTACAACTAAATAAATATGAATTATCATTAATATTCTAATATAAAGGAGGTGTGGAACTCGCCAATACGATAAAAACGGTTTGCACATCCAGTATGAATGCTTCATGTGGATGATGGAATAATCCACCCAATTGTGGTAGCCTGTGATTTTCGACTCAACCTGCACTGAAAACTTCTAAGCCATTATTTGGAAGAATCTCAAGATTAGGATCACTCTCTCTTCAAAACATGTTAAGAATCTCAAAAATATTTGTAGTTATTTGACATATTCGACTGGAGTAGATATGAGAAGTGGAAACACATGCTAAACAGAAATAAATGATACATGGTTGGACACCAAGATTATAATGTTCGACTAAGAATTTTCGACAGAGGTAGTTAGAAGGTGTGAAGTTGTTCTTGATAGCAGTGGCAGTTTTGCAGTAATTCAAGAATGAAAGACACATGGAAGTAAAGCAGAGGACAAAAGGCCACATAGTAGTGTACATATTGAATGCTGGAAATTTGATCGTTGTCGACGATTATTGATGTACATGTATATAATTCGGTTTAATCTCTGTAACAAGAGATCAAATTTTTCATTAGTGTCTTCTATAGAATTCAAACATCCAAGTTACAGACATAGTGACTTTGTGAGAAAATGTATGAATATGCATCTCATTTTTAACTCAAGCATTTCATTCAATTGATTTTATCATTTCCATTCGTTTACTTTATTATTCAAGCAATTATGCACTTTACTCTTGAAGTTTCCATCCAGTTATCCCACATTTAAACGTTTAATTTCCAAGGAGAAACACATTTTATCCCACATTTAAACGTTTAATTTCCAAGGAGAAACACATTATTTTAAACTCTTTTGCACAATGTCTTAAGAATTTTTTCAAGTTTAATCCTCTACGTGAATTAAAATTTGTGATTTCATTTACCAAAAACAACGGTAAACACTTATGAAGGAGTCCTGAAAACCATTGAAGCGATTTGAAAGATCATTCTTCCTTAACCCCATTTGTGAGGATGAAACGACGGATAATTGTCCACCAAATATTGGTCAGGAGTGATCCCGGGGTCAGAGCATATCATTAAAGGCCCAAACCAAGAATTTACCTCAGATCGGAGGGGTCTGAACGACATTCGAGCTAAGTAATTTAGAAAAAAAAAACATTTAAATCTTGAACAATTTAATTTTTTCTTAATATGAAAGTAATTGATATGAATAACATTATAATCTCTATAAAAATGGTATAAGCTACCCCATTTCTAGAGGAGAGTCAAGAAAATAAAGTGCATTAAGTCGCAGCTGGCACACCCCCCTCTTTTAGGAGCTAGCCACTTCAAGGACATAGGAAGTGGAACCTAGAGATGTCAACCTTGAACTAGGATCAAAGTTAGGGGCAGGTCAAGCAACCCAACTTTTGGCCGAGAACGGTCCCCAGCGATGTTGAAGAATTATGCATGTTCCTAACAAATGAAACAGGTAACAAAGAAATGCCAAAGAATTACACCAGTTCTCAACAAATGGAACAGGTAATGAAGAGGCGCCATAGATTAGGCTGGTTCTCATGGAATACGAAGTGTGGAGCAAAATAAACTATGAAAGTTTCAAATTCAAAACAAACAACTCATAGCAAGTAGAAAGTTTAACTAATATAATAAGGTTAATGCTAACTTATGCCCTAGGGGCACAAGTTAAAAAACACATTTATAGTAAGTTTGTATTGCAAACATCAATAAAAAATTAAATTTTTTTTATTTTTATTAAAAACATTGCATAATTTCCAAGATATTATTTCTATATTTAGTTCTTAACTTGTGCCCCTAGGGCACAAGTTAGCATTACCCATATAATAATAATGTCATTACAAATCCAAAAGAAGAGAAAATGCACGCAGGCCAAATCAAGACATAACAAATCATTCATTCTGACCTCTTCTAAGGGCCTCGTCATCTCTGTCTATGGCGCTCTCCCGAACCATTTTCTCTGGCTCCAACTCCGACCAGGGGAACTTGAGTGCCCAGACGCAACAACTCTATTTGATTGGTCGCATCTATGAAGGTTCTGAAGATGGTTTTAAAACCCTCATTGATAGCATCGTATAAACTCCACTCTTCATTGGCGTCAATTTCTCAGTATAAGCCTCTCGCTCCATGGCCCAAGAATATTTTTGTTTTTGCAAGGTGTAACGCCCAGGAT